AGTCATGGCTACAGAGCCAACACAACAAAACAATGTGTGACTGCCAAAACACTAACAGACAGTTTCTCTCCTGCAGAGCGACTGTTGTGACTCCAGGCAAACAATGAAAGCCGAAACAAGGTACAGTGAGAAGTTTCCTATTCCACTCTGCATCTGTGGTGTTTTAGTTTAAAACACTGAAACATTGTGGATTGCATCGCCTCACATGATAGATTTATATTCAGCCTTCCAGGATGTGTTTACTGGAAAATTAAAATGTGTGTGCCGTTATTCTATATGTCTCTTTACTGTAGATGCGATGGCAGTGTGTATTAACTGCTGTCACCTCATTCACACCAACGGTGTTTCAGGGCCGGTTCGGAGCTGGAGCTTGAAAAGCACCGGGTTTTCCTCTTCAGACCGTAGTGGAGCAGCCTCTTAGCTCCGGAATCCGGTTCGTTTCAAGCACCAACAAATTGTCCGGCAAGAGCAAAAGCACCGCATACGTCACGCTTACGTTGAGGCGGGGGCAGGGACGGGATCAACTCCTGAACAACAACAAAAAGCCCGCGTTTTATCCAGTTTGTAGACAACGATGGAGAAACTTAACAAGCAGCAGTGGTCCACTGAAGAGACCAGCTACCTACTGGGAATCTGGTCTTCCGAAGAGGTGCAGAGGAAGCTGGAGCACAATCGGCCATTGTTGTTGTTGTCGGTGTGAGCTGTGAGGGGTTTCCGCGCGGTTTGGCTTTATGAAGCAGGCACGCAAACGGCTACGTCATGACGCAAATGATGACGCAATGACGCAGCACCAGTCGGACTCTGGGCGGTGTGAAAAGAGCCGGAGCTAAACCGAAGAACCGGTTCTGAACCTGAAAAGCTCTAGCACGGAGCTTGAACCGGAGTTCCGTTGGTGTGAATGAGGTAATAGTGTGAGTCTACTTCAAAGCAACTCATTCTGTGGTAGAGAGCTGATTTTACCGTCTACTGCAGGGGTGGCCAACCCGCGGCTCTTTGCCTAGTTTCATGCGGCTCTTCAGTTCATATCGAATTGTATATGTGTGAGTTTGGGGGAGAGACACTGACTCCTGACTAGTGTTGCACGGTGTACCGATACTTGAAAGGTATACCGCGATACCCTGTCGTTAAAAAACGTTACGATTCCTCCGTTTCATTAGTATCGGTACTTTAAGAATGACGGGGGAAAGTACTCCGGTGAGAAAGCGCCGTTTTAATAAGAGCCGTGTGTGTTCAGCGCTCTGCTTCCACTCCCTGCACTGCAGCCGTGCCTGCAGTCCCGCCCCTCTCAAGCACGCTCTAAGTCCCTCCCCTCTCTCGTGCACGCGCTAGCTGCCAGAGCATGTGAGAAAGCGAGAAGCATGGCTGAAAGTGGGAGTGCAACTGCCGCTGCGCCTCGGCTTGTTGACAAAAAAGACGCCAGAAGCGAAATTTGGAAGTATTTTAGCTATATCTCTGACAGTGAGGGCAAGCCTACGGACACCACGAGGCCTGTCTGTAAGAAATGTATTAATTGTATTTAATAGGAAATCTTGTCATTTATTTAATTTATTGTTCTCATTGTTTAAAAGTTTGTGTTATGGTTATGGTTCTGGTGTGAAATAAAGCACAATAATTACATTTAAGACTGTTTTTTAAGAAAAGTATCGAAAAATAATCGGAATCGCAATTCTTGACTTGGTATCGAAACCAAAATGTTGGTATCGTGACAACACTAGCTACTCCTGACAGTTAAACCTGATATTTAGTAGGTCTGTTAAGTATTAACGTAATTTGTCCGGTCAAAGTTGTTTGGGCTCGGATAAAATCGCTCCGTTACTTTCGTCCCGTGTTATTTTCGTCCCGGCTCTCCCTACGTGTGTATGTGTGGTGTCAGGTGTCAGTATGAGAGGATGACAGCAAGTCTAATTTTGATGTGGCCCAAGAGCCAATCACAATAATACCTGCGATGCAGTGAACCAATCACCTTTGAGGGGGGGAAACCTATCGTTGATTAAACACTATCCAGTGTTTCCCCTACCATTGTTTTGGAGGGGCGCTGCGCCCCGCCAACGGAGCCCCGCCCCCCCCCTGAAATTCAAGGTGTTTAAAAAATATATATAATTTTTTTTTTAAATATATATAGCACCAAATTGCAAATAATCTATAACTACTGTCACTTTTCACATTGAACATGTGCTCTTTTATTAAATAAACTAAACGCTTTCATTTTAAGTTGTGAATTTAGTGTTTTTGACCCTAAGAAACACTGATGCATTAATCAATAACAATAATCCACAGCTCCTCTCTCTGCTCCAGAGGATTTAAAAAATATATATCCCAATGCCACAAAAATGCATCAGTGACGTGGTTGAAATCTTGTCTCCAGAAAACAAAAAAACGGAAACAAGCGGTATCAGTGCCTGTGTGTTTGATGTGGCTCTTTGCAGTAACATAGAAAAAATGTGGCTCTTAACCTCTGACTGGTTGGCCACCCCTGGTCTACTGTATTCATCTACACCTCACACAACCAACAGACACCTCACACACTAGCTCACACAAATACGTTTTTAGCACTTCAAAGTACATGCATACAATCTGCTACCTCACACCGACAGTAGAGACCAACACACACATACGGTTAGCAACCCCATTATTGTCAATCCTGAGCATACACAAACAAGTAATATATAGAACAATTGCCTCGCCTCCAGATATTGTTATTTGACAAACAGACGGAAACAAATGAAAAGTGTGTGCATGACTGAATGTGCTAAAGGGACAGATATACTGTAGAGGGAGAAGAGGACATGTGCCCCTGATATACAGTAAAGTGAAGTGAGCATAAATACTGGGCTGAAGATCACATTTACATACAAATCACAATTTAAATCTCAATTCACAACTCCCTGTGAGCCTCAAAACACTATTAGTATTCTTAGCATTTCGTTTGCCAATACATCACAAATGAAACTCTCAGGAGTCTAGTGGCAGACGGCTCGGAGGTGTCCATTTTGTTTGTTTGTTTTTTTAAGCAGTTCAGTAGAGATTTATCAGGAGCCCCCGCTGAGAGGGACAAAACCCGCCCAACCGCCCAGGCTCACAGTCTGCCATGGCTTCACGCATAATGTATGACTAATCCCTGGCCTGATAGAGAAAGGAGGACTGCAGCGGGTGAGAACGATGGGAGACGGCAGCAGGGAGAAGGGAGAGTTCAGGTAATGCAGCTGGGGGTCGAGGGTGAGGAGGAATAGAATGCTTTCAGCGAGTTCGGGTCATTTACATCTCCTTGGCCAATGGCCATTATGCAAAGGCTGATACTGTAGAGGAAGATATTTTACACGGAGAGGGAAAAACAGACCTACTGTCTCTGCACACATTTACACCACAAACCTTAAGAATTATAGCAGATAAGGTTAAAGGGACATTTTATCTGCCTTCTCTGTTTTACCATAGGAACTATTGTCTTTTTACGGAACTACACCACCATATCGTATCACTGCACAGAGACAAAGTGTGCATCTGTGTGCACATATTTAGGAAAGGCTCCTTCTCAATCGTTGGCGGATGTAGTTTGATAGAAAGAAAGTAATTCCTTCATGAAACCGCTCTCAACAAGGTCTGTGGATTATCCTATGTTACTGGTTTGTGATTTAAGGAAATAGACATTGCTTTTTTAATGTATTTTATGCGCTTTTTGAACCACAAGCAAAGTGCCATGTAGATTTATAACTTTACAGTGAAGGCAGGGATCTATAGGGTTGATATATCCAGCACTAGGCAACTCACACCATAACAATGGATGAATAACACTAGGGGTTATAGAAATAACATATTTTGGCAGTGATAGTCCATGTAAGCTGCTGCCCTACTACCTTCTGTGTCAAACCCACTATCTATATTCCCTATAGAATAAGGTAGGTTAAATGAAAATCTGAGACAGCAATTGCTATTAGCTTATACATTCAAGTCAACGGAACATATCTGGACCTAGCTCACCCTCGTTGCCTTCCCACAAAACCAGGACATACAACAGGTGTACTGAATACTATAAACCACACCCACGTAACAATTGCCAAATGTGTGCTGTGTAAGCAATAATGATGATGATAAAAACAATAAACACAGGCTAACTAAGCTTTTTGGCTCCTACAATTAGTATAAGTCATACCTACAAAAACAACACCCCCCAAAACGTTTGGGCGTTAACTTTGACCACATTGTTGTTGCTACTGGCAAGACACAATCCTTTTTCTCTAAAGTTTTGCAAGAGACAGGAAACAAAAAGTGTTCCTCTATTACCTCATTCACACCAACGGTGTTTCAGGGCCGGTTCAGCGCTGGAGCTTGAAAAGCACCGGGTTTTCCTGTTCACACTGCAGCGGAGCAGCCTTTTAGCTCCGGAATCCGGTTTGTTTTCAAGCACCAAAAAATTGTCCGACTAGAGCAAAAGCACCGCATACGTCACGCTTACGTCGAGGCGGGGGCAGGGGGAATCGGAATCGTCGTTGAAGTTGATGATTACGATTGTAAAACAGTTTTGAATGTAGCATGTAACGACTGTAAAGTTGGTAGTAAAGTCGTCCCATTTCTTCCATTTCGTTTCGACAGAGCAAAACGAGTAGCGCTTCAACACAATCGGCCATTGTTGTTGTTGTCGGTGTGAGCTGTGAGGGGTTTTCGCGCGGTTTTGCTTTATGAAGCAGGCACGCAAATGGTTACGTCATGATAACGATGACGCAATGACGCAGCACCAGTCGGACTCTGGGCGGTGTGAAAAGAGCCGGAGCTAAACCGAAGAACCGGTTCTGAACCTGAAAAGCTCTAGCACGGAGCTTGAACCGGAGTTGCGTTGGTGTGAATGAGGTATATGTCCCTTCCAGGAATCCCTACAGTACTCTAGGGCAGTAATGATTCATTTGAATAAAAAACAAGAAATGACAGAGCATGAATTAGGAAAGACAGGAGCTGGAAAGCAGAAATAAAAAGCAGACAGGCATAAGGAGGAGAAAGCGTATACTTACTGAGCACGTAGAGGGAGAGAGCGAGGCCCGCCAAGCAGAAACCCTCAAAGAAGCGCAAGGTGCTGAACATGGTGACGTTTACAGAGAAGGCAACACTCACACCAAACCCCAGCATGAAAAGCACCGAGATAATCAACACCGGGTGTCGACCAAACCTTAGAAACAGAGAGAAGCAAGAAAAAGACAGATGTAGCAAAGTGTTTCAAATCTGTCACAAACTGAGAAAAAAAGAAGCTTTTATTGTGGATCATCCCCCTCATTGTTAGCTTCAGATGCTGCAGACATCCTGCTTCAAGGGGGGTCAGTAGGTCAATGGGTCAGGCCAGAGCTGAGGCTGCACATTTCTTTACATTGTTTCCATGGTTACTGATCCCAATCACAATGCAAGGCCTTTTTTTCCCACGAGGCATCTCGGGGGTTCACAGGCCTTCAGACAGGGCCCCAATAAATGTAACGGACATCGTGCCTTGAAGGGTCAGATCATTAAATGACAAATAAACATATTTTTTCACCTAGACATGCAGATAGATTGGGTTTTGATTAAACATGTGTAGCGATTTAGTTTTTGGTGCTCCAAATTTAAAAACAAATGATTTGGTAGCAACATGTCTGAAGACAATATCCTGGTAACTCTTGGATGTTTCTTTCATACATTTTTCTAACAAATAAATGTTTCCTGTTGATAGTGACAACTTTGGAGAAGACAAATTGATGGGGAAGATTTTAATATGTAAGGGAAAGAAGGTTTAGTATAAGAATACACTTTTTTGCATGAGGTCTATTGTTGCTATTGCCATTTTGTGGCCACACTAGTAGCAACATTACGTGTCTTTAGGAATGGCACTATATTTTAAATCTAGCACCACTATCATCAGGTAGAGGTTTTCATTTTACTATTAATACCTTCTTTTATGAACAAACACTTGCTAAACTGATGACAATATGGTGAACATGGAAAACCTGTTAGCGCTGTTATTGTTAGAATGCTAATGTTAGCATTTAGCTCTACGGACCACTGTAGCAAAAGACAGCATCACAGACAAGCTAGGGTTGTTAACTTTTATGTGTTTTAAGTATTAATCTAAAATGTCAAAACCTACGTAAATAAAACAAGCTATCTGCAAGGGCGATAAATACCAGTAAATGTAAGTTTTCTTCTGTAATTCAGTTGAATGGGTGTTTTAAGGTTAACTATCAGAAGCTGTATAGAGGCACACAAAATACATAAAAAGGCAGCTTACCAGTCAGCCATGACACCCATCACTAGGTAGCCAAATATGGAGCCCACCAGCAAAGAGAACTTGGCAATGTGCACCTTCCAGGCTGAGTCACACACCAGGTTCCACTGAAACAAGAGACAAACGCAGAGAGAGAGGAACGTTAGGCAACTTTTCAGAGAAAACCACCCACAACCTGATAAAAGGGAATTAAACATCACCATCGGAGCACAGGAAAACAAATAAATGTGGGCTTTTCTTTTCGAGTCTGTTGAACTCTCTGACTCAGTGCTTTGATCATTCATGAATGTTGATAAGTGTACAAACGGGCTGCTTTTGGAATATTCAAATGTGTATCTTGAAATAAAGAAGCAAGCGCGTGAGAGGGAGAAAGAGCAGCTGGTTTGTGAATGTGGGGGCATGTCTATAATAACACAAATCAATGGCTTTGAACTCTTGCCTTTAAAGCACATGGGTCAGTGAACACACCGCCACAGTTCTCAGGCTCTGAAACTCAGCCAGGGACACATGTGGAAGCACGATGTGTGCTCCATGTTTACGACCCCGAGAGCATCAGTAAGAGCACAGCAGAGCGATTCAGCTGTGTGTAAAATAGTGTTGGTGTTTAACAGGGAGTTACACAACTCCAGCTGAGCAGGAGAGCAAAGGAGGAGATGATTATTGGATATGACTGATGGTTTTTGTTGTGAAATGGCCGGTGGTGATGTGGAGAACTCAGCCAGTATGGGTTTATTAAGTACGGGCTATTAGCACCAGTGTTATCTGAGACAACAGATAGCAGTCATGCACACAGGCTGCGTGATCACTCAACAACTCTCTGTAGAATAGTCACCTGAAGTGACCATAACGTTTTTTATCTTTAAACATACTGTGTTCTTAAAAAGTGTACATCTTACACTTGGGCTGGTATTTGTTTACAGGTTGTTTATAATTGCTTGCTTCTGTAACTAGCGAGGGCTCTTATCGATGCTTTATAACAGTTGAGCAACGTAGTAACGCCATTCACCCCATGTATCCTGTTTCAGTTTGTTTAGGAGTGGAGTAAAGGCACATGGAAAGAATGCACAAAAGCACAGCTGCATTTAACAAAAGTAGGCCTAGATAACAACAGTGCAAGTTGTAATATTTACAAAATGTCTATTTCATTAAAGTGACTATTAATATTTGGAAACATTGGTCAACAGGGCATCAATGTCATGTTATTGATAGTCTACAGGCGAGTACTGCACCCCCTCAACCCAGGAGCGCTGCTACGTTCTGTTTAAAGATTAAGAAATACAAGTAAATTGACCGTAACAGACCTGCATGTACTCTATTTTAAACAAACAATTTATCAGGAATCCTATTATTTTTAAAAGGATAATGGAATCAGCATTGGTAAAATCTCATCAAATCCCATTTATTTACAAGCCGATGGAAAGATGAACCTGCTAGGGCTTCAGGGGGCTTCCACTCTCTACAACATATATGCCACATTAGCAAACATTTGAAATAATAAAGGTTTATAAACTGGATTTTGACACAGGGACCCTTTTTAAAACATGAATGTACTTTGGTTATAGGGCATGAAGACCCTTATTATGTCAGTGCTTTAAACTCAGTTAACACAAACCAGCTACATTTGGAGATATCAGGGTTCCTGGAGTTCTGAGCAAAGATGCACTGATCCTTAGATTGGTATATTGGCCACATTAAAGATGGTTCCTTTCAATGTCATTATAAATGTCAGTTTTTTTACTAACATTCACTTAGTCAAGAAAGAAAACACACACTCCTGGTTCTCTGGCTGTGGACTGTCGCCCACCTTGCCAAGTTGCTAATCCAGCCTTGCACAATTGAAGTGCTATGTGTAATGTAATGCGTACAAATATAACCCTGTGCATTGCACTTAACAGAAGTTGGATCTCTACGTGTATTTTGGTTATAGTTTCCCATATTGTGATGTTGAAATGTTGAAAATAGTGTAATACATAACGTGATACTAATTTCAACCAAATCACCCAGCCAATAATACACACACACACACACACACACACACACACACACACACACACACACACACACACACACACACACACACACACACACACACACACACACACACACACACACACACACACACACACACACACACACACACACACACACACACACACACATTGAGGTCAGTGGGGTAACTTGTCAATAAGCTGTTGGTGCATCAGCCTCTGCTGTGAACTGAGTGGCAGTGATGAAGATGATGATGAAGAGCAGATAGCTGTCTTCTCTGCCAGATAACACTGTGGCTCTATCTCAGTCGTTACCTTGGTAACCACATTCTGGCTAAGTCCCGTCTGCAGCTCGAGCCTCCACTCCTTGCACGCGCACAGCATACCGTTGCTGTCGCCCAGTCCCTCCCCGGTGCCGTTGACTTTGAGATGCCACGCGGGCGCGCCACCGGGGACGGTGACCGGCGGGGGTCCCGCGGTCCAGTTGGTCTCGTTGGTGAGAGGTTGCAAGCACGTGACATGGGGTTGAGCCAGGAGGAAATAATCCGAAAACTGGCTAAAGCCGATGAACAATGCCGGGATCCAGGTCAGGACCACGAGCTGCTTCTGATGCTTCCCGAAGCCCCCCAGGGACGGTAGCACCGAGCCGTCGATGTGAGGCAGCAGCCGGGGCACCGGGTGCTCTAGCGGGGTGAAGCCGTTCTCGGGCGGGTGGTCCTGCGCCTCCAGCCGGCCGGCTGCCATCACGGCCCGGCCACAAAGACAGCAGCTGTGCGCAACAGCGGGTGAAGCAAAGCCCCCGCTCTGCCGCCGTCCGCGCACTCTGCGTTAAGCCCTTTGACACAAAGGAAGCCCTCAGCGCAGATAAATCCTCTGTGTAGCCAACAAAAGCACGATCCAAAAATAGTAGAGTCTCCGATCCGTGCAGGCGTGCAGAGGCACCAAATCACCGAGCAGAGGTCCTCATGGCAAGGGTGCTTGAAGCGACCAGGGGATGTCCGAGTGGAGAAGCGGTGTCAGGAGGAGAGGCTCCCGCAGAGGAGAGGGCTGGACAGGTATGCATGCTCACCAGCACGGGCGTTGTATTCCATGAGTTGAGCTCCTAAAGCGGGATCCATCCATGTGCAGCTAAACTGGGCCAGGCCTGTTGGTTGTGTAGAAGTGGAATATGGAGCCACCCTTGGGTCCACTAAACATCTGCTGCTCCTTCTTCCATGAGCGCCACAGGTCTCATACCTGCCCAAACGGGGACCTCCTGGATGTGTGCATCACTTAGTTCCTCAAGTGCAGAATATCCGAGCTCCAAGTCATCCCCGGTCCACTGTAACGGTGCTGAGTCCAGAGACACGGTGGACTACGGTGCTCGCTGTGTCGCCGTCTTGTCAATGGAACAGGGTGCTGAAGAGGGGCTGGGAGAGGCAGGCAAGCCCCGCCCTCCCTCGGTCGCGCTATGCGCTGCGATTGGAGAGCTTTCAAAGGGCGACTGCACCACTGACGGGCATCTGCAGGCAACAATGATCCCCTTTGTGCAGCCTCTGCCAACTCCACTTAATATTAAGCTTGTTATGATTCAGTCATTCACATCGACATTCGACACAGGATGATTGAAGATCACATTTTAAAAGCAGGCATATTGCTGCAGATTTTATTTTACAAGGCGGTTCGTGGTGATGCGTTTGCTGACCGTCCCACTGAGGTTTTTTGTCATATTTTCTTTCATAACCGTCATATAAATAGGCCTATTAGGTACTGGTTTGAGGAGACAGTAGGAGGATGTCAGTTATTTTGGATGTAGTGCCAACTGATAGCCGCAAGGGGGCGTCAAACGATCATAATAGACCCCCTTGTAATTGTGTTTGCCTTTATTATCAGATTACAGCATTAACCACACAGAACATAAACCATAGGCCACACAGATGTTTGTTGAAGGTGCAGAAAAGCAAACAAGTGAGATAGAAATGTCTTTAAACGTATATAAATATTGAGTGTAGTATTGGTGTTGTTGTGGCTACAGCTGCTCCCAAAGGACTGAGGGAGAGTGACCTTGAGATGCAAGAGTGACACATTTTCCCCCTGCAGCCAAGTGTGTGTGTGCTGTGTGTTTGTTTGTGCATGTCTGTGTGTGTTTACCTGATAACAGTTTAATCCCGATGCACCTGAATGACACATAGCTGACAGTGTAGCAGAGAGGTACATTTGTGCTCATCTCTCATCTCCTTCCTCATTGTCCTCTGAGATTAATTAAGGTTTGACATGTAGGAGGAACATGCTGTGTTCGTGTGTGTCATCTGTTACTGTTTCAACCACACCCAATCTATTGCACATACCAGAGCTGGCTCAGGAACTCTTAGGGCTTCAAACAGAATGTGACCCCCCTCCACACAAACAAAAACACAAAATAAGTTAAATAAAAGCTCATTAAATTAGACGTAAATAAACAGAATTTCACTGCTGGCAATCTTTCATTTTAATTAGTGAATGGTAATTTAACTAATACATCAAAAATGAACGATAAAGGATTTATTGATGGTTAGTTGCTTCACATAGCTGTCTAATTGTTCAAAATATTGGAAAAAACATGCTTATTGGCTTTCTTTCCAATAATTAGATGTGAAGATAAAAACTTTTCCTGCTGGTCATTTTATCCCCATTAGGAACATTTAAATGTAGGGTTTAGCACAAATTAACTGTTAATAGTCACTCATTAACTGTAGACTCTGCAGAGAGATAAATAAACTTGTCAATTAAGAATGAATTACAGCCTTAATCCTCAGCCAAGCGTTACAACTGAAATGGACCTAATGGTTTTAATATAGAGAAACAAGTGGAATCACACAAAGTTCTGGTAAGATGCATTCAACCATACTTTTGAAAACAGATAAGTAGCATATTATTACTGTGTGAGAACTCGCTACAATTACCCAAAACAATTCCAGAAGGAGAAATGGGCTGCACTTTCAAAAACTATGCAAAACACATGCAGGTTAAGAAAATCTTCCCCAACTTGACAACACATGCGCAGCATCAACTAAAAGCGCTGCATAAGCAAAACGCTACCAAAAAAATGCTGCATAATAACGTTTTTTCTCAGAATATTTGAAATAATTAAGTTACCTATAGCCAGTTTACAGTAGATCTATAATAATATAGGAAGTAATCATGCGATCGCATGGTTAAAACTAGCCAATACCAGAGCCGTATAATAGAAGAGTTACGACAACGGAAGTCCAAAAACGGTTATCGTCACGTGGTTCATGTAGAAGAGGATCGTTCCCCAGAAGTTCATGGCGGGCAATGTGAATGCATTGATAACAGGAGATAGAACTACGATTTTTGGTAATTATTAGTGAATAAAGGTTTTGATTTGCAATATTTATACAACAAATCGATATGTGTATGTGTTTACATCAATATGTTTTAAAAAATAAAATTGAATTTGCTAATATTAAGTGATAATATTAGGATTAGTGTGAACAACTAGTTTACATGTTAGGCTAACAGTGCCTTGGTTAAAGAGCCTGTTGCTGTTTATTTATAGCTTTGAATTCTTTAAAACCAATATTATCTTCTTAAACTTGTATGGTAGTCAGGAGCATCACTTTCTAATGTTTATTGATATATTTAGAGGGAGGGGATCTAAAGTAATGCTTTAAAATTCAGATTAGATTAATGTCTACCATTTTCTTAAATTCATGGTAGTTTCAGTAACCATGGTAATTGAGGACACAAGTTATCTAAATGACTAATGTCATCTTTATGGCTTTCAGAAAGGACAGGAGACCGACAGGTGACTATCAAAGGACTAGCAGCAGCATGATGATGATGATGTTAAATGTGTTGTTTTAGGAACATCCATTGCAAATACATGGAATTCAATAAACATTGAATAGCATATCATGCAGTTTGTCTGTGCCTTTTCCTCCGTGTTGTCCTGGTTTGCTGTGCTGCCTCCCAGTCGCCACCATGGTTTGCTGTGCTGCCTGGGGATGCTCAAATCGCTCAGAGAAAGGAGTACGAATGTACGGCTTCCCCACTGACACAGAGCGGAGGAAAAAATGCCTGGCTCAAGTCAGCAGGAGCAATTTCACGACCAACAGCAAAAAAATATGTGAGGTAATTATATACAAACACTGCATTTGCACTTTTTCACAAAACGAAAACCACACCATTGGGAAAGCTTAATGTTTTGTTTAATACAAAAAAACAGGGAAAGGCTTGAAAAACACAGAGTTGAGACTCAGGGTGCAGGGTGAGGGTCTCAGTGCAGGTATTCAGGCTCCATTGAATCCCCCTCTGGTTCTTGTGCTGAAAGAAGGATAAACAGACAGGAGAAAGGGTTATACACACCTATATAGCACACCTATTGGATGGGAAATTGCCTTGGGGAGATAAGGTGTGGTCTTTGTTCCCAACTGAAGTTATGGAACTTTATTATTTGTGAATTTAATAAAGTATGACAAATGGCATCAGTGAATTTCTATAAAGTTGTCTCACATTCTTGGTCATATTTTATATACAGTATGTAATGAGTATAACATGTCCAGTAAGTATAAAGTGTTTCCTAATACTGTGTATTCAACCACTATGGAATATGTATGTGGGCAAACAAGATTCAGACACAGTTGTTCTGTGTGTGAAGTAACCTCAAGTCACTCCGCAGGCACATTTTGATGCAGACCAGTTTGTCAAGACAAAAAAGGGCAAGACTAGGCTGAGAGCAGAGGCTATACCCACCATCTTCGTGCATCGCCCTGTGGTCAAAAAGAGAAGGGCCCCTGCACCACGATTCACCCCGGGACCTGTATCTACAAAGCCCATAGCTCATGGTCACAGCTATAGTGTGAAAGGTGACACAGGTATAATAAGTATGAACTCTTAGTAACAAAAGTAATATTTCTTATTTTTAAGTGGTATAATATTTTAAATGTTCGAACATTTACAGTGCCATGTCTTCTACTTACATTAGTCTCAAAGATTGAGGGAAGAAGGGATGACACAGGGGAGCCAAAAATCACTCCATCAGTCAGAGTGAAACAGCTGATGGCGGTGAACAGAGCAGCAGCACCTGACCTCACAAAAACTGAGAAATGTATTCTCTTCCATCTTGCAGGCTACATCGTCCACAAAATCATCAAGTTTGCCAGCATCTGTGAAAAATGCAAAATTGCAACAGAGCACCATGATGAGAGTCCTTCTGGTGACAACAGCTTGTTAGTGGACTTGAAAGACTTCAAGGCAGGTGCTCTTTGTCGTCCCTCCCAAGAAGCCTTTGACTTCATTCACCAAATTGAGGAACTATTTAGGACCAAGACTGGTTCCTCCCTCATGCAGCTCCCCAACGCAGTGGGTGTCTTGGAGAAAGAAGCTCAGGCCCTCTCCAGCAGGCTTCCGTCATGCTGTGGAGTACAACAAAAACTCGTAAAAAGATTTATACGGCTGAGGCTGAGAATTGAGGCAAAACAAATCAGAAATGACAGAAAAAAAATTAAATTAAAAGATGGCCATTTTGGAAGCAAGAGCCAATCCAAAAAGGTGAAAAGGAACAACAGCAGCCAAGCTACCACATCCAGCAACCCCCAAACAGATCCACAGCTGCAATCATTTCCATTAGCCGTTGCAATGGAAATATTTGGACTAAACATTGCTCTTCCACCTGCCAGCACCCAGCTAACATCACTGCCCCTCCACCCGTAACATCACTGCCCCTCCACCTGCCAACATCACTGCCCTCCACCTGCCAGCAC